GAACATGTGGTGTACACCAACACATGTCGCTCTCCGAGAGGTGAACTTTTTGGAGATGGAACAGGGTTCATGTGTTACCCCTGACTTGAACTCAGGTCGTATTTTAATCAGTCCAACAATCACCTGGTTTTTATAAGATCTAATAACAATCAAAACTTCCTATGCCCACAGGGGGCCACATATTCTGCAATGCATACATTGTGTGCGCCTTCAAAGTCCTCTTGTGTGCGCTGTTTCCGTTTTTTTTTTCTTCTCTTTTTCAATCATTGGAATAGAACTGATAAGCAATGTGTTGCAAACAAATTGAGCTTACTGAATTATAATAATTGGCACATACTGAATTTATTTATATTGACTAGATTAAGATTTAGAAAAGAGTGAATACACAAGAATACTATGAAAGAAAAGGAAGTTAGAAAGAAATGTGAGAGGAAAAAGGAAATGTTGCATGGCTAAGAACATGGAGGGCCCTTTGAGAACAAGTAATTCATTTAGTCTATTACTTAGTATTAATACAAGAAGAGGAAGAAGAAGAAGAAGAATGCATGAGATGGAGAAAAAAAACTGAGGTTGTGGAGACAGGGTTGGCATATTTCCCACTTCGGAGGCTTATTTCCCGGACGCCAGGAAATAAGCGGTATTTACTGGTATTTACCGCTTTTTACCGGTATTTACCACTTTTTACCGGGAAATACCGGTAAAAATATTTTTCCACTCACTTGTTCATAGGGATTGTCCAATTTTTAACATAATAACAACGGTGGTGAGTATGGTTGCTCTTGTGTGTACTATTTGTGTGTGTGTGTTTGTTCGTGTGTTTGTCTTTGTCTGTAATTATGTAATGCTGGAAAAAAATACAGGAAAAAGATAACAAATATACACCTAATCTAGATATGGTGTTCTTTTTTTTTTAATCTTTTAAAATATATGGTGTTCTTCATTAAAGGGAACCAAACCCTTCGTACTAAGTTACCTTTATTGTAAAGTTTAAGATATTTGAATAAAATCAGTGAAAAATTGAACAAAATCAGGCAAGGAATAAGGAAGTTAAAGCTTTTTAAAATGACTAGTCACTAGAGGGTGTTATTCAATTTGATGACATCATTTGTGGACAACTCTCCATGCCTTTTGTACATCAAATTGCATAATTCTTTCGTTTTTTTCCTATTTATTTGTGTTCTTGATTGGATTTTATAACATGTGAAGTAGAATATCATTTTGCATTCTATTATCTCAATCACAAGAAAGAAGGAAAAACATGAAATTTACAAAAGGCATGGAGAGTTGTCCACAAATGATGTCATCAAATTGAATATCGCCCTCTAGTGACTAGTCATTTTAAAAAGCTTTAACTTCCTTATTCCTTGCCTGATTTTGTTCAAATTTTCACTGATTTTATTCAAATATCTTAAACTTTACAATAAAAGTAACTTGTATGAAGGTTTTGGTTCCCAGTTGCTAATTACCATATTCATGAATACCTATTAATTAGCATATGCACAAAATGCCATTTGTTTGGGTGTGTACAATTTTGTATGCAGTGAGGATTTTATAAATCTGTTTGTGTTTGTGTTTCCTACTATGAGTATTGTGCTGCTAATTATTTCAGAACAATATTTTCAGTTATGAGGCTAAAAACAAGTAAAATTATTAATAAATAGAGAATTAAAATCATATTTCCCGTTTTTTACATATTTACCGGACGGTATTTACCGGAATTTACCGCCGGTATTTACCGCCCAACCCTGTGTGGAGAACACTTACACCTTAGACTACAGTGTTTCTTGAATACATTTAGTTGTAGACATTTAGTTGTAAACAACAAATAAGGCCTGTGTATGCTTATAAAACTATATTGGACTGTATGTAGAGTACAATCTTATATGCATGCTATTAACAACATGATTATAAATTAGGCCCACTATACCCCCTGATTATGGAGCTAATTATTTAGCCCACATATTGTCCACACATGTATTGTGTGTTTCTCTGTTTGACTAGCACCATTGACCAACATTCATTTGTATGCCCTCTTGGGAACCTAGTTTATTATATTCAGCCCTTTATATTTTTTATTTTCTCAGTCTAAACATCTTGAAAAAATAGTGTTTTTAAATAGTTTTTATAGTTAGCTCAAAATATAAGTTTACATGTACATGTATAGCCAACATTTTAAAAATTTAACAACTGTTGTTATATTCAGGTCAAAGTTCAAATCAATCAGCCCTTTCTATTCATGTAACATAAATGGCAGATTTGTCTCAATTGAAATATGTACCATGGATATAGTACTGTACATACATGTGTATATTCATGAAAATACTTTGGCTGTTTTATTTCTTCATCAAACCAAGTTCTCCCACAATATTTTTGGGGCACTGTAACAATTTTTATCACTTTTTCTAACATTTATCACCAGGAATTGTTTTCAATAGTGAGCTCTTTTTCTTTTGCAGTGACTTTTTAATGAGTTTAGGGGCAAAGGGCACATTGCCCTGATGCCCTCCCCCATTCATTTTTTTTCTTCATAGTTATACTGCTGCCATTCAAGATTTTGTTAAAACCATTTCTGATACATGTTCCTGTTAACTAAATCCTGATCTTTGTTTAGTCTAGTCCAGCCTTGAGGCTAGACTGTATTGTTTCTTTATTAGGACTGACCACCTGACTCATACCTCATGAATGCAGAGCCCCCCCCCCATGACTCTATATCAAGATGCATAATCATTGACCATTGTAAGGGTCTTAGCATAGTCTTACAATTGTACAGTACATGTAGGCTCTTAGCATGATGTAAGTAAGATCAGCCCATTTACACAGAGGTTCAAACCTTACCCTTTTTGTTGCTGAATGGGTAAATCAAGGATTTTGAAAAATTAGTGGGGGGGGGGGGGTGCACAAAATGCCAAAATATTACACAGGATAGAGCAGAGGCAAATTTCCCTGTTATAACTTTAAAGGTAATACAAAGTTTTGGTATTGGGTAATGAATTTGGTTCAAATGAACATAATATAAGCATATGCAATCTTACAATATTCAGTGATCGTTGTCGCGGTTAAAATCGAGTCTAAAGTGATGAAATTGTAAATAATAAACTCTTTATGTTGTATAGCGCCCTCTCAAGGTCAAGATATTAATTTAGCTATAAAACAATGTTATTTGACTAAAATCGACCGATTTGCTATTACCGTTTGGAATATATATATCAGATGTGCATATTCTGAGATTGTCATGGTCGCAGCTACCATTGTACGGCCGAAGGCGCTATTTCAAATTTATCAAAATTTACCGGGAGCACCGGTAAATATTTATATTTAATTTTTCTCGAAAGCAGAAGAGTTTTAGGGGCTAAATTTTTTAGTGCTTATAATACATCCATAGGGGCATCGAAAAATATCAAAATTGTTAAGAATCACTATCCAGCCAAATTTCAAAATTTACCAAAACTTTGTAATACCTTTAAGGGGAAGTCCACCCGTATATGAAGTTAGTTTAAACATGAACATTTGTTTTTTATTGTAAATCTGCTACAGAACTACACACAATATATGTAGAAAATTCTTTTATTGTTAAGTTTGGACCTCAGTGTAAATGGACCTACAGTATATGTATAGAGGGAGATGGATAATGGCGATCAAGGAAACAAAGAGAGATGAACAAGTCCCAAGAGAAGGAAGATTTGTGGTCAATTGTGCATTTTGTCTTTGGTGAGAGTTTGAAAACTTAGAAAGCCGATATCCTCATGCAGAAGAGAAAGAAATAGATTGTAAGCTGATGAATAAAGATGTTGGCTTGACTTGTAGTAGGGATTATGGTTGTTCTCTAATACAAGTTATGAATGGATAGGACTGATAGCGCATAAAGAGGAAGGATTTTCAAAAGTGGAGAAGATTTGGATTTGTTCCCTCCAGCCAAGGAGATAACCAGGACTTTACATGTATGTTTTCGGAGCAAGCTACACATACGATAAAGCTGACATTTGAAAATTCTCTGTATAATTTATACTACAAGTATGTTAATGTACAGGTGTTTCCATCTTCCTCACATCCATTCATTCTCAAGTCCCTTCCTTCATATATCTCCCACCACCTCTTAATCCATCCTTCTGTCAATCAATCTTTCATTCCATCTGATTGTCTATCTTTGTATCATTCCTACTACCCACTCAATACTTGCCCATTCATTCATTCCTTTCAAGCATTATTCTTGTGCACCCTCTCCAGCCACTCCATCCATCTTTTCATTCCATTTTGTCTATTTAGTCTACCTCATTTATTCCTCTGTCACACCTTCACCCACACCGTCTTCATCTCAGACTGGTGACATTACACATCTTAGGAGGTAGTGGCAGGAAGGCTACAGTGTTGTTTCCAACAGGATGTGACAGAAAAGACTACACCATTCTGGAGAATGACAAGCAGAGCACAGTCCATACATCATATTCCCTTTTAACATAATTTCATGAAAACAATTCTCACAACAATCAGAACAATGTTACCGATTATCACACTGTTCACACATTCCTCCTTCTGATAAAAGTTCTCATTTTATTACCGAAATACTATGCATAAAAGAGCTTCATATGAACAAAATAACAACAGCACCATATTTTTGCTAGCTCATCCACATGTGAGGAACTGAAGACGAACTCTTGTTGAGGGAGAAGAGGTTTATATTGTGGTGTGAAAGGGTACATGTTTAGGTACCACAGCTGTAGCAGAGCTAGGACATGACATCATGGAAGAATTTATAGTCTCATGTGAATGGGAAATAGCTTGGACATTTTGCTGTACATGTAGTTAAGATTATGTGTAGATTGTGCAGGGGGAAAGAGTTTATATTCTTGTGTTAAGGAACATTTGTCTATGACATCATGTACATGTAGCCGATTGTTTAGATAACACATTACATAAGACTGTTGTTAGGAAACGAGTTTTACATTTCTGGTGTGAAGGGGGTATATGTCTGGGCTGGGCATCCCAGCAGTGGTAGCTGGTAGCTGATAGCAAGCTGTGAGAAGACCCCATTCTTCCCTCTCTGTCTGCCTGTCTGCTTTGCTTTCGTGTGAATGAAAGTCAGCCAAGAGCGTCAGATTCTCTCTGACAGTCGTGAAGCTGACACAGATATTAAAATCAATTTTCGCGGAACTTAGACTACAAGTAGGCCCTTGCATACATATAGATACATGTGGGCCCTTCTTTCTTATAACATCTTGATGCTACCATTCACTAAGAGCCAGAAGGGCATTAGCTCTAACACATATTAATACCCTCCTTGGCTCTCACCATATACAGATGAGTTAGAGTATCACAAACACAGATGATGTACCATGGGCAAACCATCAGTATGCAGACTTGGACTGACATACTATTATGATGGAAATTATGGAAATCAGCTACTCCATGAGAGGATGAAATAACATTGTAGTCATTTTGTGTATTGGAACAAATGGGAAAGTTGTCTGGCACTTCATCAAAGTGACACTACAGATATAGCAAATTTGAAGTGCCATACGTATAGTGATTACAACTTTTAAAAAAATCATAACTTTCATATTTGTTTGCCCAATTTCATTCAAACTTTCACCAGTCTGCTTTTCTGATTTGTCTGCTCTCTTTAAGAAAAGTTCACTATTAATTTTAGGTTGGATTTCCCTTTAACCTTCAATTATTTTTTCCATGTGCCCCATTAAGTATATTCATCAAAAATTAGTTTAAAGAGGGAAGGAGAATGAACTTAGGCCAACAAAAGAGAAATTAATATCCTCAACTCCTTGCCTCTAGGGACGTTTTCTGCGGCCTTTTCAGACCAATAGGAGCAGAAAAATTAGTTTGCCTTTTGTGGCTATGTTGGTCTGCTCGATACGTATTTGAGGTCTTACAATACCCAGCTAATTATCAAACTGGTCCCCTGTGTACTGTATGTTGTGTGTGTGTGTGTGTGTGTGTGTGTGCATAGCATGGAATCGTAACATACAGAAATTAACGGGTCATTTACGATGGTATTTTACTAATCAATATCATAGTGAACTGGACGAATGTGGACTGAAAAGATGACCATGGTCTGCTGAGTGCCAGAAGGGCATTAGCCCATATCATGTTACATAGAGGTACATTAGTGCCCTTCTGGCTTTTAATATATGGCAATGAATAAATACTAGAAGGAGCTTGCAAAGGAGAAAGCTTTGAAGAGGGTGGTAATTGGAAGGGAAACACAAAAGTATACATACCGATAGATGCATGGATGTATCAACACCTAACAAATCTTATTATGAATATGATTTATCTCAAAGATGATGGAGGGAGAGACTAGTGTAGAGAATGTTCAACTTCAAATAGATGATTGAGTATGTAATAATATAGAGAGGGGTGGAGAGAGATAGAGAGAGAAGGGGAGGAGAAAAGAAAAAGGATACTGACAGAATAAGAGAAAGAATGAGAGATTGAAGAAGAATGAAAGAATGATATCAATCATAATTTTTCATTTTGTGGTCTACTGCATTCACTCTGCAAACTAGGATAAAATGAATTTAAATGAAAATTGTTTCCCCCAACTTGTCATATTTGAATGCTTCCTATATCATCCATCAAACGAGATACCCAAACTCACTTACAAAAGAATGATTCAATTTGATTTGTTTGCTATGGATTTATCATTTAGGGGCTGAGCAGGTCCAAAATATTTTTGAGATACAATACATGTAGGCCTACTTTACAATGTACCCCAAAAAGTAATTGAAACATACATGTATCTTTGAGGCATGAAACAAATGACTTTTACACAGAATATCACCTTGAGATTGAGAGAGTTTATCTGTTTTATAATGTGTGAAAATGTAACTTTTATTTATTGAAACAAACATTGTCCAAATACAGTTAGCAATTTTGTAACCAATTTGTGCTGTCAAGAGTTGGTAAACCATTGGCATACTTGCACATTGTATGTTGATATTCTTCTGGGGATATGTTTGATATGCTTGACCTAGATTATGCAAATATTTATTTTTGTGCATTCCAAAATAGTTGACATTGTTGTAAATATCTTGGCTGCCTGTCTGACTGTCTGTATGATATGTTGTGTCTCTCTACATGTATGTATATATATATATATATATATATATATATATATATATATATATATATATATATATATATATATATATGAATATCTCTGTTTTTCTTCTTTCACCTCTAACAATTGTAATCTCTTTTAATAATTTCATGTCTCTTCTCCCCCACCCCACCTCATCTCCTTCTGCTCCTTCTCTTATAATCAATCTCTCTCTCTCCCTCCCTCTCCCTCTCTCTATCTCTCTCTCTCTCTCTCTCTCTCTCTCTCTCTCTCATATATTCTCACTTCTCTCATCCATTCTCACTTCTCTCATCCATTCTTTGAATTCTCTCTCTTTCATATCTATGATATACCCCTCTCTTTCCTCACCCTCCCAATCCCACTCTCTACCAACAAATGAGTAAAATTGCATATCTTTTACTTGGCTTCAGACTCGTAGGAAATCCCCAAAGGATCAGTACTAATTTTCAATTAGATTTTCTTATGTTCAGACCATCTTTGTAAACATGAAGTCCCAATAATATTACAACTTACCATTCATTTAGAAACTTAAAATCTTAATGTCAAAGTTGAAGCAGCAAACCTGGTGAAATAGCATATTCCATCAATCATACTTCAATTTCCTGAAAGCACATATTTGCATTTAAGCACAAAGTGCAGTCTGCCGATTGACAAGTTATTCGCCAAAGCTGTCCTACCCCAAATAGGTTTTAAAATACATTAAATGGTTTTGCCATCTTCTCCCTTTTGCACATTTCATATTCATTCTAGTCTTGTCAGTTGGATCAGTAAAACCTATTTCTTTTCTTCCTTCTGTATCTCCTGTCCCTTCTTTATAATTGCCTGTTTGACATTGAATTTTGATTCATTTCTAACCTCTTACTTCATATTCTTCATGTTTTATCAATCTTTACTGTAAAAAGCTATTTTGCTCTAGTGAAATGTTATTGCTCCTGGATATCAGTGAGGAAATGAAGTTGTTATGATGATAACATTTTCAGGAGTAACTTACTTGTTTGCCTACCGCCCTACCCATTTCACAAGTTTTCCAGTGACAAAAGAAAGTATTTCATAATTCAATATACCAGTACACTGCACTTGTATTTGTCTGTCTAAACACTTCTGTTAAAACAAAAAGAGTAAGAAAATTACACATGTTCAGTGTATGTCAGGGACATGGCTGAACTATTTAGAATGAAAATATTCTTTGTTGATTGTCAACAAAGAAAAAGTGGGTGTTTTCCCAGGGAACTATTTATGACAGTTGTAATAATAGTTCAGGCTAGGCACTCAACTGATATGATGGTGAAGAAAATATTTGCTTGTTACCATAGCAAGATATATATCTATACATATTTTTAAATGTGCTTAGATTTACTTGGTATTTACATCTTCAGTTTTGACAGTGAGTTTTGTTTGTATTTTCAATGACAACTCTTGTAACTCAATTGTGTGGTGAATATGGATAATCCTTCCATTGTTCAATCCTGGGCAAATTTAGAAGCTCATTCATTGTAGCTTTGAGAAGTCAGTGTTGATTTCTATTGGCAATACTAGTCTATTTTAACTGCTGTTTGGTGACCTTTTCAGGAATGTTATTTTTTCATGATTAAATTGTAATGTTCTTTCAGGACCTTGATAAAAACTTCTCAAATTTTATCAAGGGCTGCAAACTAGCAAACACCACCTTATTTATGGGGGATGGGTCCACATTGATATTTCTAGAGTCTCTGTTCACTGGGGCCCTGTGTTTCTTACTCCTTGTTTATCCATTTTTGTTTACGATGACTTGCCTCTATCGCAATCCAGGCTCAGAGACATGTGCTTTATTTCTCACCAATCAAGGACAGCATTGATATTTTCCCAAGCATCTTCCTCCAATTAATGAAGAAACATAATAAGCAAAGGCATAAGGTGATAAGACCCAAAAGAGGCCTCTGATCTTCTATGCAAGGTTGTTTCTCCTGCTTCTCACTCTGGTATTCAATAATTCATCTGCCTAGACCCATAAGGGCATTAAGTATATGTACATACATGTTAAGTATAGGAGCTAATGACCTTCTGGCTCTCAATAGACAAATTGATTAGTTTGTCATATTGATCTGAAATGGTACGGAGTTACCTTGTACAGGTTTGCAAGTTCACAAACAAGTTATCCATTCCTTAGTGTGGCCTGTCAACTCAAATTCCAGTCTCTCAATATCATTATTTTGTAATGAGATCTGAATAGAGATCTAGCCAACTTCAAGTATCTTTTTTGCTGCCATTGTTGCGATGTAAATTTGTCCCCTTTCGAAATACCTCCTTTACACCTCTGTCTGGAGGCTACATTGAGCTCCTTTGATGTTTTGTGTAATTGCAGAGGCGTGATTTATGACGACGCATGTTGATATGAAAGGCATGGTGGCGGCACAGAATTGGAAGTCTCAATTTGACAAATGGTGCTAAGCCCATCTCCGACAGACATGGGCTTACATAAAAAACACCTTCAAAAGAAACATCTCGTCTAACAATGGTCTCTGCTGAAAGAACCCTATTTAAAAAAAGAAAATCCTGTATTTCCCAATATTGACATTGAGATGAAAGGAGATTATGAAGAGAGGCTGGCGATCTTATTGTCATCATTTCTATAGGAAATATTTTGCCATATTTTGGTGGATGATTGGAAAGAAATGATGGTTTGCTGGTCCATTGACTCTGAAGGGTTTTTATAGATCAGGAATCGTTGAGGAGTCCAATTCACTAAGGTTCAATCAGTATGTCGTTTCTCTAATCAAAGCAGAGTTGTGAAAGAGGAATAAATAGTGGGGGGGGGGGGGGCAGGGGCGGGACTAAACTGCCTGAACTGTTATTCTGAGTAGAATAGACTTTGGTCTTTGGACGAGGAGAAAAGTTTGCTTGCAGGTTGGTACTCTGCTATAAGTGCAGAGAGAAGGTTATGGAAAGCAAATGGCCATATACCTACCATACATGTAGGTTCCATGTATATACTGTATAAAATTTGCACTACGGTATATGTATTGCTAATTTGTGGGGTATTTTCTCAATTACACCTGTACCTCCAAACTTCTTGTGAGTCTTTGTTAAGACCTTGTATGCACTGGGGTAAGAGTGTGTACATGTACATACATGTAATGGTGTACAAAATAAATAAAGTAAAATAATAGCTCCACGTTCAGCATCATTGATCATTGCATTCAAATTTGCATGTCGTAAAGGTATACATTTTTCTGCAGTATGTCATTTCATGCTCATGTACTGTGCAGTGCAGTCAATCAGACTTCACAATGGTAATGATCATATCTTATTTACTTTTGTTTGATGAGAAAGATTTATTGATACTTATTTTACAAGCTCATTCAGTATGCATCCATTTCAGTTGATGATGATTGAACAATTTTACTCAGAATACTGTAGTTTCAGTTTTCCTGTAAGTCCTTTGTCCATGTCAAAGGTTCATATTTAAAAAGGATCTAGCTGGAACCATCATCTGTACTCAATTGCTTGAAACACACCCCAGTTTATTACTTTTTTTGGTTAGATACTCTCAATTACTTTACTTAAGTTTTAAGCATTTTCTTCTCCAAACTACAACAATAATTGAATTAGATATGGGCAGGGCTTGATGCTAGTACAGGCACCCACGACCTAGGATTCATGAGCATACAATATCTGTTGTTAGGTAGAGCAAGCCATAATATTTGTCCAACCTAGCAACAACTATTTGCATTCTGACTATTTTGCTGTTTGCTACAGGAGGTAAACGTATGTAAATTTGAAAACATTTTCAAAATTGTGTATCGTTTGCAGTAGCTTCAAATTAAAAAAATTGAATTAATTAATTATTGAAATTATTGAAATTTGTATAAGTGATATGTCTTTTTATTAGGAGATGAACCTCAGACATGCATGATCTAATACGACTTGAGAGAATTGAAATCCTCTTCCCCCACCAGCTCAAAGCAAACACAGACGATCCATGCAGACTGACTCTCAACGTTATGCATACCAGAACAGGCGTGCACTAATGAGCACAGACCGGCTCTCTACTCCGCTCGCTCACTGGTTAACCCCCAAAAGAGATCAATAAATTCCGCCCGGCCGAAGGTGTAGCGAGACCCTGATGATTACCCAATATCGCAAGGCAAACAAGCGAGGGAGTATTGAGACAGCACGGCAGTCAATATAAATATGAGAGAATGTAATTTGCTAAAATGTTAACCCATGTTCTCTCTCTCTCTCTCTCTGTCTCTCTGTCTCTCTCTCTTTCTCTTCTCCCCCTCTTCTCCCCCTCTCTCTGAAAATGCTCTTGCAATCTAACTTTCTGTCTCTCTGTTTGAATTTACATAGACTTCATGCCTACTTTACCCTTGTATATATTGACTACCAACAGTGGTATATTTTCCTCTTGGAAATATGTTCAGACAGACTGCATCTTCTGGTCCTCTTGCATCATTGTGCATATACCTCTACATGTACGTTTAGTATTCTAATATAAAAGTACATTAAAAACTGACTATATTCACATTGTTAACGCTTGTTCAGTTGCATGATACAGAATGTCATTTGCATGAAATGTAAGTGTTTTCAGTTGCTGATGATTTTTTTAAAATATTGCTCATTGTTTATTGATGAAAGTTTACAATAAACCAAATTCTACCCCCCCCTCTCCCCCTCCCCCGAAAAAGGCATCCTCTTGTTTTCCTATCTTTGGATCCAAGTGTCTCTTTCAATTCTATTATTTTGATGTCCAAACTTAGCTGTCCATACCATTATCTACAATAGACACTTCAAATAAATCCACCCTCTCTAATTCTAGCAGGCATGTCTATACAAGTTGTAAGTACCCTTTCAGTATACCGGGTATTTAGAATTCATTTGAATAAAACAGAACAATAAATGGTGCAATGGAAACAAGTGGAAAATCCACATCCTTTGTGCAAATTCTCTGGAGAGAGAATAGATTTTGGAAGCTTTTTTTGACAATATTCTCTGGAGCAGAACTAGCTAGTTTTGACTGTGGAAATGGTGAAAGAATATACAGTAGTTACACTAGTACTCATAAATTATTCAAATCTAGTCCCACTCTATTATGAAGATGATAGTCTTTGTCTTCAGACCCTCTTGTAAATTTAAATGCTGTGATGAATGTATAATATTACACTGTAGTAATCTCACTTGTGTGCATGTTTTCTATTTGACACCAGTTCATAATGAATTCAGTTGAATATTTATATGTATGATGTCAAACAGTTACAGTATTGAGACTTTATGAGTTTAGTCTACAATGAAGATAGTTCAAACCTTACATTATTTTATGGATCATTTATGCATGCAAGCTCTAGCCTACAATGTATATATATACCATAACACCTTCACCATAACATCTGCTAAGAGTAAGAAGGATGCTAAGCCATTTCATATCCTTAGACCAATACTATGTGACACACTTTTGACTATAAACAGACATTATGTTGATTAGGCATGTCCTTTTCTATGCAAGAAGTTATGCAAAGTTAGATGAAATCATACCAAGGAGATGCATCACCTTGTAACTCCTTGATTATACTGAGTATTGCTTCACTGTTGTATACTGAAAGGTCATATGTCAATTCCGTATAATTTTCAAGAATATAGGCTAAATATTGGATTGAAGGAACATGAGAATGCTACTGAATCCATGCAGAGAACACTCAACTCAAAACAAGCTTTATACTTCTATTAACTCTTTCCATCCTTCTCCCCATACATCTTCCCATACATCTTGTATGCATAGTCCCCCTCTCTGGCAGTAGATGTGTTAAAAGACCAACAGGTAAAACCCAAGATGAAGGTTATCAGGATAAACAAGATATCAGTGTCAGCTGACTTTTGACCTTCTGATTTTGACAAAGGTGTTCTTCCTTTTCTTCTACCCCCAACCCTAGCTAAACTCTTGAGCAAATCCTCCACCTGATGTGGTTGATATGATCCCAGTGAGTAGATACATGTAGCTTGAGTTGATAGCCGTTATATTGTTTGTTTGTTTTGCCGGGCTTGTTGTGTCTTGTCTTGAAGCCCGTAGAACTTCACAATTGTAATTAAGGAAACAAGGAACCAAGGGTATGACTTGTTATGAAGTATATTGAAGGTGCAATTTTACCTAAGATGTCTACAGATATCAAACACAATTGATTTACAACCTATCACAATATCACATTTGGTATTGCCCTTTGGTTTTTTATTTTTATGAAATTTTCTGTGCAGTAGTTAAATGAATGGTTTTGATATGTAAAAATGCAATATAGATTTATAATATACAGTTCAAATACATATAATTCAAAGTGATTTTTTTAATGGAAAGTGAGTTTTAAATTGAAAAGTGAGCACATTCAAGATAAATCATGCACTAAATGGTAGAGCCCAAAGGGTACATATGTTTTTTTCAATATCAAATTAATACAGCCATCTTTTGTTGTGAAAATGATATTGATGTTGCTCAAAGGGAGTTAAAGAGGTTTTTGGTACACACAGAATATTCTTTAGAATATCAGAAAGAATATGATAGTAATTGTAAAGATTACAGAAACACAACATCATTACTTGTTCAATCTCTCAGGTCAAAAAACTAAGGGCTCCTATCATTCAGTACTTACACATTAGGATAAAGTTATGAACAACACTACTATCACTACAAACTCTCTTCCATTCAATGTCACAGTATGTGATGGAGTTGATCCCGCTGGGTAAGGGGTGTGGAGGAAATTATTTTCCTGGTAAGAAATGAGACATTCATCATTGGGGAGGTGGCTATTTTGGGAATCATCTTTTGAATGGCTTTTCGAAAGTGTTTTTATCCATTGATGTATTATTAGATGTTGAGGTAAATTTGTGGTATCATTCCTTGTCTGTCTCTTGTCTGTCTCATTTATTATTTAATTCATTCCATTCCCTTTTTAAACTCTTGTCTATTGTCTTCACTATCTTTTGGTTTCTCTTTCTTTGTTTATTTTCCCCTCTCTTTCTTCTCCCTTCCTATCCCTCTCTCTTCCCACTCTTTTTCTGTCTATTTTACTCTCTTTTTTAGCTCACCTGAGCCAAAGGTTCAAGTAAGCCATCGCGTTCGCATTTTGTCTGTCGTCCGTAAACTTTTTACATTTTCAACTTCTTCTCAAAAACGCATGGCCACATTAGTAGGAATCATCCTTAGACAAGGGAGTTGTTGAAAAGGGATATGTACCTCCAAGGGGGGCCTTGGAGCAGTGCCTCTAAAGTTCCTCAGTGGCAGTAATTTCTTCTTCTTGAAAACCCATGGCTGGATTCTAACCAAAATTAGTAAGAACCACCTTCAAAAGAGGGAAAAAGAGGGAAAAAATGGATAACTGAAATATATGCCTTACAAGGGGGCTTTGGGCAGCCTTTGGGCAGCCTTTAATATCCACCATCCAACCAGCAATGCCAGCATGGCAAACTTGAAAATGTGCGGAAGAGCTAATCTTGAAAACTGATGTTACAAAAGAGTCTAAAAAATTTTCCATTTGAATCAAGGATATCTCTACAAATTACCCCGTTACCATCATTCTTTATTTCATATTCTGATAGATCATGAAGTGTAGATATGAATTTATACCAAAATGTTTTCATGGATACTGGTTAAACATTGTAGGAATCATTTTTATGTAAAGAAGACATAAATTTGTTTGAATGGGATACCTGCCCCTACAGGCTTGGGATCAGCACCCCTAAATTACCCCACTGTTCCAATAAATCTAGGTTCCTTAGCGAGGCTCCTACTTTCATCAGTTCAGGTGAGCGTAAGGTCAGCAGACCTCTTCTTCTCATCTTCTTTCCACTTCTTGTATAGTGTCTTCTATGTACATGTACATGTAGGTATGAACTAGTACATTGTATATGATGACATCTTATGTACTACTTGCCTTTTAGGTCGAAGCTAGAGTTCCCTCTCTCAGCTAACGGTTTAAATGTAATGTGTATCTATTACTTGGTATGCATTTATATGCTTTTTAATTTGTTTAATATTTGTATATGTCAGATTGTTCTATTTTTACTTTATTTGTCTGCTTTACTATCTGTCTGTCTTTCTTTCTCCCTATTCCTCCCCCTCTCTCTTTCATTCTCTCTCTCTCTCTCTCTCTCTCTCTCTCTCTCTCTCTCTCTCTCTCTCTCCCTCCCTCCCTCTCTCAACTCCTCTTCCTCCCCATCTTGCCACTTCTGAGGAGTAACATTCATGCACGGTCCCGATCAATCATTGATGTATCACAGAATGGTTCAATTATGAGTTGTCTTGTGCCCCCTACGTCTCGCGCCCCTTCTGACCCCCCTCCCTCCCACTCGTCTGGCGCCAGTGGTGGTAGAGGGATCCCTCTTGAGGTACTTCTTTTCAGCTAATACTCCCATGTTTGACACGATTAGGGTGAATTTGAGAATGTGAGCTGAATTTGAGCATGTTCAACATTGCTGCATCTGAGGTTTAACATGATTGATTGTGGTTTTGGTTACATTTTAAAGGTACAGTTGATTTCTACTTCTAGCAATGCATTTGCATTGTGAAAGAAACTGGCTACTGGTATATCTTATTAGGAATCGTTTATTATTTAGTAGGTCTCTATAAAGATATTTGTGTTTGTGAGGTTTTGGAATCATCAAAATGATAACAAATCAAGTCAACACAATCTTGCTTAAAATCTCAAAGATGACTAACGTAATGATGTACATTCATGCACATTTACAGCACTATACATAGACATGCCTGTGGCATCCAAAGTTTGTCACAAGTTGTTAACTACTCTGTATTTTTAGTCATATTTGGAATTTGAGGGCATTTCAACTTTCAAGAGCAATCCTTATCATTAAAAAAAGGCTGAATTTGCTACCGTAAACTACCATGATATTCTTCTAATTAGGGAATGAAAAAGAATATATTATTTGTTCACCTTACCCAGAACTCAACCTTCTCTTTAAAAGAAGGTTTAGTCTGTGGTTGGTAATGGTAGCGGGTTGGCAGGGATGCTGTGGTGTCTCCGATATGCCATGGCACCCTTTCACAACTCAAAATGGCGGGAAAAGATGAACTCCTACCACAACAATAGATATACAGTATTCATTGACTGTTATTTTTCATTTGTTTGTCAAGTTTAGTGAAAAATTGCATGGTTGAGTCATTGAGAGACAAATGAATTAAAAAAAAACCTGCATGAAAGTTTTATGAAAAATTATGTCATTGAAGACAATATATTAGGATGTATTGAATTTAGTAATAGATAGTAGATACTCATGAATAATTCCAAGACATTATGGACATTATAGAATTATGTGATGGATATATGTGTAATTACAGATATGGGATGAAAAATATAAGTAGTTTTGAGGGTGAGGATATAAACAAAACATTTTAGTGGTACATGTACATGTATCTTCTTGAAATGCAGGTTCATGGCAAATACACAGTTTTACCTTTAATTCAATTTACTCAATTTTCTTTGGTCTTGACTAAATTTGATTTTTTTTCTTGTTGCTTGAATATGTTGAATTTCCCTAACCTGTAGGGAAAATCATCCATTACGTTCACAAGACATAAGATTAAACAGATGGGACCAATGGAAGCTTTCTGGTGTCGCCTGCAGTTACATGTCGGCTAGTTTGGAATGCAACATGCAATCATTGTCCTGTCTCTTATTTTTGTTTTTTGTGATCTGTATTTGAAAGATTTGTGAAAGCATTTCTATTAAGTATACATGTACATGTATTTCCGGGAAAAATCACTTTTTGCCAATTATCATCTTGTGACTTTCCCTTATGAATGACGTTAAAAAGTGCCCCCTCCCCAATGAAATAGCCCCTATCTTAAAAGAGTCAACATATTTTTTGTCAATTAGTGATCTTGTTACTTTTTTCTGTCACTATAATTATTTCCCTCCCTCCCTCCCTCCCTTTATCCCTTCCTCCCTCCCTCCCTCCCTCCCTCCCTCCCTCCCTAATTCCTCCCTCCCTCCCTAATTCCTCCCTCCCTCCCTCCCTCCCTTCCTCCCTCTCTCTCTCTCTCTCTCTCTCTCTCTCTCTCTCTCTTCCTCCCTCCCTCCCTCCCTCCCTCTCCCTCTCCCTCTCCCTTTCCCTTTCCCTCTCCCTCTCTCTCCCTCCCTCTCTCTCCCTCTCAATGAGCTCCCATTGCTTTCTATCATTTTTTTTCTTCGGTACAGGACATGAGCCCTGATATAATTAAATTATTTCAAGCCAAGATGAAAAAATGGAAGATGGAATTATTTGTGGGTCTGTGGTTATTGGGTATTGCATTGGACTGTAAATATTCATGGGTATATTTGGGTTCATTTCATACTGTGTACAGATAAATTGGAGCAGGGTAGAAGTACAGTTTAAAGTAAGAGAATATGATGCTCTGGCAGTAATTGCTCAGAACATTGTTATATCAAAGATATACATGTAGAGTTCAAATTACAATAGGGTATTAGGGGATAAGATAAGGGTATGTTATGTGGAAGTATATAGTGTTTGGTCCAGCGTTGAAGTTAAGAATTCTGTTGGTGTAGGGCATTGATTGTGGACTGAGTTTCTTCAGAGAAAAGGGAGAGTATATCTGTCTAGTTCTTTGACAAATTTTACTTTGTGTTGACTATGAATTGTATGTGATGTCTACAACTCTACACAAGATGAAAACATTGATCAGGCTGCATTTTTGGAGAAGGTTTGAGCTTGTTGGTAGTGAGAAAGTGAGAGAGGGAAAGAAGGGGAGATCAAAACAGACTAAGCACAGAGATGGGGCAGAAGGGGAGATCAAAACAGACTAAGCACAGAGATGGGGCAGAAGGGGAGATCAAAACAGACTAAGCACAGAGATGGGGAAGATGCAGGAGAAATGAAAGACATGAAATAGAGCAGGTGAAGCAAACAGGAACAAAATGGTAGAGAAGGAGAAAGAATATGAGAAAAGAAAATGAGGGAGTAGTCGAAGTAGCTGGTATAGGCCGTAGGGTCCTCACCCAGGTCTAAAGTTGAGCTTTAGAATCAACTCTCTCCGGGATTATCCCTTTGCCTAATGTTGGCCAAAGCTGTTACAAAGCAGTATGAATAACATACCACGTGGCCTGTACATTACTTGTGAATCCAAACAGTTCTCTTCCATAGAACTAACGCTCAAATAGTGCATTTTGCATAGTGATGTCATCAGGGCTCGCTTCATAAAGTACTACAATGTTTTTTGTTTTAAATAAGTGTAACAAGAAGTATCATCTGTTTGGAGCCAGAAGATTATTTACTCATGTATATGACATACCGGTACATATGTGGTAAAACTTACAGACCTAAAGGGCAATCTACACTTGTAATATCTGGTTTTCTCCATTTTTATTGTTGATAATGCTCTGTTTTTCACTTAAACTTTCAGATTATCATTAATTGTACATTGACCTCACAACCTTATCAGCATATTTCTCTCATCTGATCGATGTTATAGAGTCCCTTTAAGCAAGAGGGGATAACAATATTTCTCAAATTTAGAATTCAAATGCGAGGATAACGTGTCCTTTTATGTAAATATATTCTTAAGTTTTCTGCAGAAAGGGCCCCGGACCTCCATTCAATCTTCCCCAATTTGGGGAATTTTTCTGTCTCATCACTGTTACAATTAAATTCATTCATATGTTGATTGTTAACAAATTAACCTGAAATCATATTCTGACAGCCAGGAGAGTATTAACTTTTATTCAAAATTAATTTACAGACTTAATAACACACCCTTCTGGCTTTCAACGGATGATATGTTCCTGACATACACTGTACATGCATACACAGAAGATATGGTTTCCTTCTCCCTATACTTACAGAATGAAAAACAAATAGAAAATTCAATTTGACTTTAAGGTAATTTTACAAGATACTTGTGTATTACTGGATATAGTGAAGCTTTCACCAAGCGAATGACAGTTTGTTCAGGATTCATAACTTGCTTCCAATAAGATTCCCAGTTCAACATTAGGATACACTGTACCTGGAGATAAAAGTACAGTGACTCTATTTACATAGTTTTATTGCCTCAATCTCATCCTTCAATCTGCAATCAAATACCACTTCATTTGTTCACCCAATTTTCTATAAATGCCACCCGTCAAAATATGAGATACATTTGTTGTATAATCTGAATTGCTTCCACAAAGATACAAAGTACTGCCTCGGGATTTAAACCTCGGGGGACTTCATAACACTTCAAGGTTAAATTGTCTGTGAAACTTTGATTTTTCTCCCTGAATGAGAAGAAAGAAAGGAATGAAAATTAGGAGCAATTACAGCTGTGAGTTGACAAGACTCCTGGAATGTGACTCCATGGAGGTTGAGATATTCATTTAAAATGCTATCAAGTGGAACCTTCACAGATCATTTTCATTCTTATATCTTACTTTATTGTTATGACCTCTCGTCTGTAATTTCACAAAGATATGCTGATTGTAATTGGATTTTGATGATATTGGAGGATAGGGGGACAAAAGAAACGAGGATACGAATTGTGATTTTATTGGCATATCTGATTGCAATGTAGAGATGAAAAACGTAGTTTTGGAGATGATTTGATAAGAATAGAAAGAAGGGATGGTATTAAGTCATCAAAAATAGAATAAAATGTCACTGGTAAGGTTTACTATAGAAAAGAAAATCTTAACAAGAGAAAGATTTGATGTGAGTGGGAGGTATAATTTGACTAAAGCATTGAGTAGTTTAGATATTCAGGGGGAAAATATCTTTTAATATTTCTGATGAAATTTAAAGTGGCTGAATTGTGTATGAGTATAATAAACTGCTTGAGAGGCATATTGGCAAAATGCCGAAAAAGGGTTTTTGGTTTGTCTGAAATGTTAAATCTTGTATTCACTGATGATATGTCTTTATTATCAGAGTCCGTTTTGTAATTGTACTTCTTTCTTTTTTAAATGTGTTTTCTAAAGTCCCTTTGGAAGAAAAATACAAGTACTTGTACATTTATTTTTAGAGAGATT